CCAAGAGTATAATACAGAGACTCATCTCCAAAAAAAACCAAAAACAACAACAAAAAAAAAGCAACAAGACAGACAGACATTTTAATTAGGAGTTAAGTCAGAGATCCAGACAGGAATGGAGCTTAGACATCAGTTTCAGAAATGGATATAAAACAAAGCAACTCAAGGTATCTGATGGGTATCTGTCCCAGGTGGAGCTGCTGCAGCAGACATTCATTCAATACTCATCAAGAACTACTGCCTGGTGCAGACACTGGTGCTGCCAGGTGTCAGAATGAAACAAACTGTCCTCACAGAAATGTCACAGCAGTGGGAGAGATGAACACAGGTAAACAACATGTATTATTATATAGGTAACACGCTGAGCTGCTAAGGGCAAAAGTAAAGCCAACAGAGGAATAGGAAGTGATATCTGCTTAAAAACCTAAAGTGTCTGTAATTCCAGAGTTCCTGAAACAAAGCTGTGACTACAAAGTTGTCTGACCGACTGTTAGAACGTCAGTGATGTGAAGAGGTTGGAACATTGCAAGACCAGAGCCCAAATTATCTTGGGCCATCTCTAGCCTCCTTACTAGTCATTTATCCTCCAACTCTGTATGGGACCAAACCTCTTTGTGAACATGAGATAAATGCTTTGGAATGTACAGACTCCCAGCTTCCACCAACCAAAAGGCTACAAATGTTGCAGATATCTGTGGCTTGGAATTGAGATTTTTCCACTTTTCTATAACTGACTACCAGATGTTTCCACCAATGTGTTTGCAAAGCGAATGGAATTATGGTTTCCTTTGTTGTGACTGTAACTCACGCAGCTATTAGCACATGGGATTGTATTTGGCTCCAGAGTAAACTCTCTCTTATTCTCACTGTGTTTCGGACATTGACAGCTGATAGATCAAAACTGGATTCCATACTTTTCCCAGTTCTATTCTGTCCATTCGAAACATGAGGCTCTTCATATTTCTTCTTTCAGTTAACTAAGGATGAGAAACCAGAGCCATATCGAGATTTAACACAACTATGAACAATAGAGGAAGGACAGCACCAGGCAGGAAGGAGATATAGGAAGGGAAAGGAATTTCCCAGAAACCTGGTTGCTCCATAATCAGACTGTCAAATAAGGAGGAAAAAAGAAAGGAACTAAGCTAGTCTCCCCTTAGATAAGCACATGATATGTTATTAGCACAGGCTAATTTTTGTTTCACTACTCTTACCAAATCCCTAGTCAACCTGTAACTCAGAAAAACTGGGCAAAGATCCTTTCCAATATAGCAAGTATTTTTTCAGAGGCTGTTCTCTATAACAAAAACAAATTCCCACCTATCCTATTAATCAATGTACTAGAATAAATGAGCCCAAACAGACTCTAAATGTTGGGAAGGAAAAAAACTAAACAAGCGAGGAGGGGTTACCCAGCTCATGAAATGCAAAACTTCCAAGTCTGAAAGTTTGTGAAACTTTCAAGACTCAACAATGCCTGTCCTGAAAGCTCTGAGTCAACAACTGCTGGGAACAGAGGTCCAAGAGCAAATGATGGCTGATGGAGGGGAGACTGCTCAGTGGTGTAGCGGCCTGCAGGGTGAACAGAAGCCAATGATGGATCTCCCATTCTGCGATGGGCCTTTCTTTCTTTTTTTTTTTTCCTCAGCGTTCCACACCATTTATTAATGTGGTTTACATCAGATCTGAACCCTGCAGTTCCCAAGCATACTGTGTTTACATCTTTCAGCTGCTTCTGCAGTCTCAGGTCCGTCTGCAGAGGACCATTCAGTGAATGAACACAGTCTACAATTACTGAAAATAGAGTGCAGTGAAATGAGTTAAATATAATTTAGGCACATATTGATTATGAAAATAGGTATCTCTCAATACAATACTTCTCTGACTTGGTAAAAATAATAATACAAAGAAAATAATTCATTTTCAAAGTTGCTTTCCTCTCCCTGTAAAGGAGCACTCTCCTCCCACTGTGCATGTGTGCCCTTTGCATATGTAGATAGAAGAATAAGCTACAGAATAATGAAGGCATGCCACTCTCCTGAAGGAGACAAGGTCACCTGTGATGACTCACTACCTCAAGGTGACCAGTCTGTAGGGTTTAGAACCCATATGGACGCAGCTTCTATCCCTGCTCTTAGAAAACACATAAGGACACGGGACACCCACTAAGAAGGCCCTACTGCTGTTGTTGCACAAGAAAACTGGACTAAAATTTCACTTACAAACAAGACAACAGAAAAAAAAATTTAATTAACAGCCACAGTTACCCCCTGATTGATAATGCCACTTACACTAGTCAAATGCCTAATTTTTAGTCATCAATTTTTTTGGTGGCTACAATCAAACCATCAGTTTATAATTCCTTAGTCCCCACTGTAGGATTTTAGCTGTAATTATCTGATGTTGCCTTCTCATATGGGACTCTGCAGGATTTATTCATACTTTATAGCTCCAACTGCAGTGGATTTAGATTGAATATCTATTTTAAGCTGATCCTGTATAAACTACTTGGCACTACATGAACTGTGCTGAGGATACAGCTCAGTGTTTTGATTCAGAAGTATCTTCCTATGCTTGCGATAACTGAGCACGAGAACTGGACTAGGGAATGGACAGAGCAGCCTAATCTGGTGCAGAATGGAACTCACCCTAAGCTGCAGCATGCACAGCTGCAGCAACTGGTGGATCCGTCCTTCTCCTGCAGAATGATTTACGAGGTCTTTCCTTCCATTCTGTCTCAAAATGTGAGGACAGAATATGACTCAAGTTTAACTACTGTCTTTTTTTTTTTTCTTAAAAAGTAAACATTCCAGAAATGAATCAGAAAAGAGCCATAGGGAGTCTTTCGATGGGCCTTTCAGTGACAAAGCTGCCTTTGCATAGTTCATGTTCCTGTAAGTAATCCCTCACCCAGTCTCCTGTAAATCACCCTAATCTCACTGGTTTACCACCCCTGACTTGGGTAGGATCACTCTTCTAGTCTGTCATTGCTCTCTACATGGAATGAATAGGCATTTTTGTATCTCCAGAAAAAGTACCTCTACCAGGGCCTGCCCTCCAGTCTTGGCCTTGTGATCTCCTAACTCAGAGTAACTGGAACTTCAGGCATTCCCAAGTGCCTGGCACTGGGTGTAAGGAGGAATCTGGCCTCCACACTATGCCGGGGCACAGCTATGTGATACAGACTTTTAACAACTTTCAATATAGTTTCATTTACAGTGACCAACTCAGAGACCATCTTCTTCCCTGAATGGGCACAGGCTTTGCATAGAGGCACATGTCTGAGAGCCTGCCTCCCTCACTAATGTGCTGCAGCTTAGTTTCTGTGACTTCTGGAACGTGGCAATGCCACCGACTTTACTCTGTATTGATGAAGACCCTGGGTATCTATCTACAACAGCTGCTATGATGGGCGCCCCAGTAAGCTTCCCTCCCCTCTCTTTTAAGATAAGTAGATCCTGATGGCTAATTCAAACTGTATCACTAAGGGATCCCCTTCCCACCTGCTACTTCTCTAAAGTCCCCTCCCCCCAAACAGAGTTAAAAGACAGAAAAGCCCTTACAGGCAATTCCACTAACAGTAGCATGGATGTGTACATTTGAGGCACAAAGATACTCACCTAGAATCTCTAGGTTACAAACTTCTAGGAGGGCTTGCTGTTCCAAGGGCTTGCTATGGTGTGCTAGGGTCCATTATGGAGAGTGGGACCAAGGGCTTCCAGGCTGTGGTGTCTGGGAAGCTCTGAGGACAGAGGGCCAAGTCCATGAAGTTTGTGGATATCCACAGCGGTGACCCACCCTGTTAACTACTATATTTACATCGCCTGCACCATGTGTTGCTCAGACAGGGTGTGCTGGACATCGAAGAAAAAGATCATGCTGCGCTGGGACCCAAGTGGTAGATCTGCCATAAGAAGCCTCTGCCTGACCATGAGAGCATCCTGGAACCTAAAGATGAGATCCTGCCGACTCCACCCCACCCCATCTCAGAACAAAAGAGTGGGAAGCCAGGTGGTGCACACAGCACTTGGGAGGCAGAGACAGATGGACCTCTGTGAGTTCGAGGCTAGCCTGGTCTAAGAAACGAGTTCCAGGACAGCCAGAGTTACACAGTGAAACCTTGTCTCAAAAAACAAACAAACAAAAAAGCCGGGCAATGGTGGCACAGGCCTTTAATCCCAGCGCTCCAGAGCCAGAGCCAGGCAGATCTCTGTGAGTTTGAGGCCAGCCTGGTCTACAGAGCGAGATCCAGGACAGGCACCAAAACTACACAGAGAAACCCTGACTTGAAAAAAACAAAAACAGCCGGGCGGTGGTGGCGCACACCTTTAATCCCAGCACTCGGGAGGCAGAGCCAGGCGGATCGCTGTGAGTTCGAGGCCAGTCTGGGCTACCAAGTGAGCTCCAGGAAAGGCGCAAAGCTACGCAGAGAAACCCTGTCTCAAAAAACCAAAAAACAAAACAAACAAACAAACAAACAAAAAAAAAAAAAAGAGTGGAAAGTCAGAGCCATCTGCCATGCCCCAGCCAGTGCCTATAGGGTCTTGGAAGCAGCATCTAGAGGCTGGCTGTTGTCCTATAAAGGCATTTAATAAAATACTGAACACAGACAAAAATAACAAAATTAACCACCTGAGAGACAGTGCAAGGTCGTGTTCGCGTGGAAAGGAATATGTATCAACTCTCAAATCACTATACTGAAGGCTTATGAACTGAAGAGAATGTTATGTGTACCGTGTTGAGTACCCACTACATACAGCCACTAGCTAAGCCCTTGAAAATAAAATCTCATTTACACTTCACTACTGCCGTCTTCCTAAAGTGTTAACCGAAGAAACGGTCGCTGAATGTTTAAGACATCTGCCCAAAGTTGCACCCACTAAGCGGCAGAGCTAGGGCTGAAAGAGTGTGTAATCTAAGAAAGCCATTCCCATGGATGTTCCAGAGTCAGTATCTTGCCCGCCCTTCCGAAAACCCAGATCTACTTTGCTAGTGCTAACCATGCCCCGGCTGGGGTGCCACGGGTCCGGGCTCTCCAGCCCTGGTCACGCATCCACACACGCCGCAGGAGCTGTGCGCACGCGACCTAGCGCGATCCAGGCTCAGGTGCCCTTTGCAGACCCAGACTCGCACACACACAGACCCAGCGACCTCCCCGATGAGCACGCCGGGCCAGCATTCCAGCCCCGGCGCCAAAACCCAGCTTCCTTCAAAGTGGGGCGCTGCAGGGAGCCGGAAGCCATCAGAGCCCACGGCCTCCTCGCAGCGTGCTCCGCCTCGCCGGGACTAGAAGTCACTCGAATCGGATGCACCACACCGCACGCCTCAGCTCTAGACTGGACACTGCTCTCCTCATTCTCCCTCACCAAAGAGGCTCCTACATCCCTAGTCTTTACCTAGAGGATGGAGAGACCATGGTCAATCGGCTTCATCCTCCCGCCTCGGAATTGACGTAATGCAGCAGGCTCGGTCCAATCACAACGCTTGGAGAGCACATGCGCTTTGGAGATGCGCCGCCCGCCCGGCGTACGGTTTCACCTTTGAGTGAAACCATCCTGCTTAAGTCCTTTCCCTGAAGTCTTCCGGAGGGAAATTCCGAGTAGTGGCTTGGGTTCCGTTGGCTTTCGGAAAACAATTTACACTGCAAAGCTGAGTGTCATGGCATATACCTGTTATCCCAGCACTTTGGAGGTGGAGAGAGGAAGTTGAGGAATTCAAGGTCACCTTCGGGCTAGGCTGCATGACACTTTTCTCAAAAAGCAAAAGTAAATGCTACAGCTGTATTATAAAGAGCGATGTGATGTTGGTACAAAGATGAAGGGGGGCGGTTAACAGTTTTTTGTTTGTTTGTTTTTTAAAGAAAACCCTACACATAAGTAGTCACTTTTCCTTCTAACAGGTAGCCACGGTTAATACAACTAGGAACCTATTATTCTACCAATAGTGCTGGGTCGGCCAACTGGGGACTGGGGGACTGGGGGGGGGGACTTTTTTTTTTTTTTTTTTTTTTTTTTTTTTTTTTTTTTTTTAGATTTATTTATTTATTTTTGTTTTTCTAGACAGGGTTTCTCTGTGTAGCCCTAGCTGTCCACTGTCCATGGAACTCACTCTGTAGACCAAGCTGGCCTGGAACTCAGAGATCCACCTGCCTCTGCCTCCCAAGTACTGGGATTAAAGGCGCGTGCCACCATCAACCGGCTTGTTTGGTGGGGTGGGGGAGGGTGGTTGGAAACTTTTTTTTAGACGGGGTCTTACTACGGGTGTAGCCCCGGCTGTCCTGATCCTCCTTGAACCTCCTACCTCAACCTAATTGCAGGGTCACAAGATTTACCCCATTACATGTAGCAAGAACAGTGACTTTGACTCTCTTGCCTCATGCAAAAGAATTCTAAACAAATGCTGACCTAAATGTAAAATATACAGCTCTTCAAAAACAAACAAAAAAGCACAACTCTAATAGCAAACTAACTTGACCGTAGAAAGGAAAAATAGTTTATGGCAGAACACAAATACCAACTCTAAAGGAAAAGGCTGATAAAAGTTATCATAGCAGGAGTCTGAAGAGGCAGGCAAATCTCTGTAAGGTTGAGACTAGTGTGGTCTACATAGCGCATTTCAGAACAGCCAGGGCTACAGAGACACCCTGTCTCAAAATATAATAATAATAATAATAACAACAATAACAATAACCATAATACACAATTGGGGCAGGAGAGATGGCTTAGCAGTTAAGAGCACAGGCTGCTCTTCTAGAGGACCCGAGTTCAATTCCCAGCCCCCGCATGGTGGCTCATAACTGAACATCTGGAATTTCAGATGATCTGACACCTTCACACAGATATACATGCGGGCAAACAAGTACACATGAAATAAAAATTAATTAAAAATAATAAAATACACAATTAAGAGAGTGAAATGCAATAAGATTTGTAATATATATCTAGAAATTAATTTTATTTAGAAAGATCCAAAGCTTCCAAATAAATTTATTTTATTTTTATTGTTGTATATTCATTATAGAAGGGCTAGAGATACATAAAGATATTTTCATACAAGTTTATAACATGTTGTGGATCGAGGCTCTCAATCAACTCAAGCAGGCACAAGAGGTTTTTGCAAAGCAAGAGTTAATATAGGGCAGCACAAAACAAAACAAAACAAAAAACTGATCAATCGGGGCCACAAAACAGATTCAGAAGCTGAACTATGACCCAGAATGCCAGCTAAAGCAAATATTTAAGCGCGCGCGCGCGCGCGCACACACACACACACACACACACATCATGAACATCAGTGCTACAATTACAATTTCTCACCAGTCAGAATTCAAAGATTAGAGGCTATCCCTATGGTTCCATCATTGTCACCGGACGTACAATGCAAGCTTTTCAGACCAACTAATCAGGCTCAGTTGTTCTTTTTGTTGCTAGGAACAGCCATCATATTTCTAGAGAACTAACGATGTACAACAGACTGTTTCTATATTTTAAATTTTTTTTATCTATTTATATTTTATGTATAGTGCTCTGAATGGATACTTGCATTCCAGAAGGGGGCATCTGATCCTATTACAGATGGTTGTGAGCCACCATGTGGTTGCTGGGAATTGAACTCAGGACCTCTGGAAGAACAGCCAGTGCTCTTAACCTCTGAGCCATCCCTCCAGCCCAGTGTTTCTATTTTTTAAGGAGGAGTGGGTCAGTTATTGGAAAGTCCCTGGCTCCCCCAGAGCTTGGGAACTTGAACTATTTTTCCCTGCAAGTAAAATGGAGTCTGAAGTCAAAACGGCAGTACTTATGGCAAAATGCTTTCCCCTGTTCCCAGCAAATGTACGTTGCTCATATTCCCCTCCATTCTTTCTGTCTTCCCCTTTCTTATCTCCCCATTACACTGTGTATGTCTTTCCACAGCTATCATTCCTCATTAATCAATTATGTTTAAATTAAAATCCTTACAAGTATCCACAAAATCTGGAAATACAGTGGAATATTTATTTTGTTATTGTTTGTTTTATTGCTTTTATTTTGAGAGACAGGATCTTCCAAGTTGCCCAGGATGGACTCAATGAGCTCAATCCACCCTCCTGCCTCAGTCTTTTGAGTAGCTGGGAATATATATATATATATATATATATATATATATATATATATATATATATATATATATATATATATTATAACAATATTTATATCACCATGAACACCTAGAAGAAATTTTATTTTTAAATATACGTAAGCTACATTTTCAAATATGTTCTGTATCTTTCCTTTTAACATATCCACAGATGTTTATGTGAGAGCATGGCTTCTCTTCACAGTTTTGAAAACTTTATACTCCTGTTTGCCAATTCAGAATGATTCTGAATCATCCTGGAAGATTAATCCCATTTACCAAACCTTAGTGAACCCACATTTCATTCCGGCTTAGAGACTGTTCTAGAAGCAAGACAATAAATTCCAATGTACTTTGCAGCCCATTTGAATTGGAATTATCACATGCAAGTATAAGAACTTGAACTTCCCAGCCAGGATATTACACAAATAGACCCCACTGATTAGGAGAGCATCGTGACCTCCTGTAGAAACAGGACAGGGGACGTTTATTTCCAAGATGGACTAAATACATTTTTCCTATTTCTCCCATTGTGTATGAATCACACCCTGAACACCACCAGACGACTTAAAGGTAGGGAAAAGATAGACCAGCTAGGACCTCAGGCCCCAAGGAATACCATGGTGGCTTTCATGTATCCCAGATGGGATACTGGAGGAAGAGGCCACCTAGAGAGGCCAACAAGCACAAAGTCCCAGGAAAAACTGTTCTCTCTGGCAAAGGACCAGGAAAGCAGCAGCTTAGAAAGGAAAACAACTTTCAGACAATAACAGTTCAACTCTTTCCAAAACCATGAAAAAAAAATCCAGCCCTCCTCCATGCTTGCTCAGAAGAAAGCCTAGAGTGCCACCCATGCCACTGACTGGGTGGTACAGTCTCAGGGAAGGACATGTGGCAGGCTGGGACCTCCATTCCCGGTAGACTGTAAGGAGATGCTTGTCCAGTGGTGTCAGTGAGCCAGTGGGGGAACCTGGGCTCCCACCCCTCCCCCTTCTCTCAGTGTGATATCAGCAGAAGCCAGGTAGAGCCTCAGGACTTTGTCAGGACTGCCTTCACTCCTTACTGGCAACAAGACCACTTCCCGCATATTGAAAGAGGCCGTGCAGGAAGCAATAACTAGATACTCTTTCTCCTCCCAGCCAAGAAGGGGGCAGGGGAGGCTTATTGGGAGCTTGAACTTCTATTTGTACAAAATAGTAACAAAGAGTTCCTCTAGGTGTCAGAGACGTGGAACATACAGACTTCCACTCCTATCTGCCAATAATAGCAAAAAGGCATAAAATTCTCCTGCTGAAGAAACAAAGCCAGCTTAAATGCAAAATGGAAATAGGATTTAGAATTTTATGGCCAGGTTTCTGTCAAAAACCACTCCCTTTAGGCCAGAGATATGGCACAATGTTAGAGTAGTTGTAAGCATGTGCAATGCCCTGAGTTTTATCTGTATCACGAGAAAGAAAATTAAAAAGCATAACATTTTTATTAGGAAACTGAACCCTTTTCAAATTTTTGTGTGTATGGTTGTCTCACCTGCCTGTATGTCTATGCACCACTTATGTGCCAGGTGCCCAGGGTCTCCAGAAGAAGGCATCAGATCTCCTGAGACTGGAGTTACAGATGAGTGTGAGCTTCCATGTGGGTACTGGGAATTGAAACTGGGTCCTCCGGAAGAGCAGCCAATGCTCTTAACTACTGAGCCATCTATTTAGAACCCCCAAGAAACAGAATTTTTTTTTGAGACAAGATTTCTCTGTATAGCTTTGGAGCCTTTCCTGGAACCCACCTGTAGCCCAGGCTGGCATCAAACTCACAGAGATCCACCTGTCTCTGCCTCCCGAGTGCTGGGATTAAAGGTGTGTGCCACCACTGCCCGGGGAAAAAGAACTTTTTTAGATGTACCTAAGACAACACAGAGAGGGAAGTTTATGGCACTAAATGCTTAAAAGAGAAGTCTTGTGGGATAATCCTTTTGTTCAGTGTGAAGATGTGTTTCTGCCAAGACACCATATGATTGGTTTAATAAAGAGCAGAACCGCCAATAGCTAGGTGAGACAGGATAGGTGGGACTTCCAGGAAGAGATAGGAACTCTGGGAAGCAGAGAGGCGAGATTTGCCAGTCAGACACTGAGGAAGCAGGATACAAAATACTGAGGAGAGGTAATGAGCCACGTGG